TCACGGTTGAGTCATTTTTTTAATAAACATCATTCATATGTTTGTTCTTATAAGTTTAAGCTAAGCTCATCATAGCAGGCTGACCTCAACTTTTTAACGCTCGCATATAATGCGGCCTTAATCACTCTGCGTTAATAGTCACTGTCAGCGCAGTAAACATAGTTACCTTTAGTCCACATTTATTTTCACTTAAAGTCTTTTTTCGTTTTTTCTTTCTTAATAGAAAAAAAATATTTCTTTTCCACTTTTACTAAGGAAATTTTCAACTAATAATTTATTTATATTTTATTTATTTAATAAAAATACTTATTTAATTATAAAAAAAGGGAACAAATAACAATAATAATAATAATAATAATAAAAAAAATAATTAAAAAAGTTCAATAGGTGGTACAACCCTGACTATGTTCCCCTATTATTATATATTATTATTATTATTACAATTAATACTGAAAAAAAATTTATTTGAGTCAATTAAATGGTATTTGTTCCAAATACTGAAATTATTGGTTCAAATACAATTTCTTTGACTTAAATAAAAATTATTTGATTCAAGTAAATATTTAAAAAGAAATGAATTTTTTTATTTTAATTTCCTTGACTCGGAGTGATCGTTAAATTTCAGTATTTATTAAATATTTAATTGTTATTAGTCAAGTAATCGGTTATTTTGAATAAAATAAATTTTTTTTCAGTGTAAAAAATAAATACAAATATAAAGAAGGAAAAATAAATTAATAATATATATTATTACTCTATTACAATACAATAAATAAATATATAATAAATTATTAAAAAAATTAAAATAATTAATTATTAATTCATATAATTATATGAATAATACTATATTGAATAATAAATATATTAATATATTAAGTATCTACATATAAAAACATTTAATAAAAATAAATAAAAATTATTATTTACATTTAAGGATATTTTTTTTCTAAAGGTTAAAATCGTATTTCGAGATTTTTTTGAGCATAAGATCAAAAGTCAAGAAATTTATTCTAAATCTCTCTAAGCTTATTTAAAAATATTTTCAAATTTCGGGTCTATAATCCAAAGAAGCGTGATTCTTATCCTCCGTGAGGAACCAATCTATCATATTATTCATCTCACAAGAGACTTTCATTCATTCTGAACCGTCAGACGTTTACTAACACTAACTTGTCCCACGAAAAGAGTTTTCAAACATCTATGAAATAACTTTTAGTCCTAAAAACCCATTAAAAAAATAATAATAAAAATATTTGGAAATTTTTGAAATTAATGATTATAAGCGAGAAGTTTGTTTTCTAACATAAAATAATGTCAATAATAATTATTTATTACAATAACTAGAATTATTTACTTATTTATAAAAATAATAATTATTATTTTATTTATTATTATTATTATTATTATTATTAATATTATTATAATTAATTATTTTATAAATATGAATGAAAAATTTATTGTCATTATTAATAACAGTTTTACAATAAACATTTATATTTATTATTTATATCAAAGAAAGAAAAATTCTCCTTTTAAAAAATAAATAAAATAACACTAAAAATTTTAGTAATTTTTATCTTAAATTGTTTTTGTTATTTTATTATCTTTTTCAACTTTCGTAGTTTGTTTATTATTATCAATTTAACAATGTAAATAAAATATGAAGTGCTTATTTAAGTTTTTCATATTATTTAAGAACATGTGTTTCCCAATGACGTCACTACTTCCCTAAGTATTTATATTCCCCTCGTTTAAATTTAGAGAAATAGAATTATCCGACTTAAAATTATTTCCCGAAAAACATAGGAATTTATCCATAGCTTTTCGATTGTTTAAAATTTTGAACAAGAAAATTTTTCTTCGGGATGAAAAGAAGAAATTTTGTATTTAGAAACTTTTTTTTACACCTTTTTCAATTCGTACTTTTTTCAAATATTTTTCAATATACAAAATATTTATCTCATATATATAAAATATTTTTAATGATTTCGATGTAAAGCCTTTTTGAAATTTAACTATTTCTAAAAATTACAACTGTTATTCTTCCAAAACTCAATCATTTTTTTTTTTTTGGTTAACATTTTTATATAAAATTAGTCAAAACGTCAATCATTTTATTTCCAAATAAAAATTTAAACATTATTTATTTATTTATTTAACAATTTATACGGGCTTACAAAAGAAAAACATTATTACAGTTTTAAAATTAAAATTTTCAAAGATTACAATTAAAAAATCATTTGTAATTTTATTATTTCTAAAAATTCATACGCTTGTAATATTCAATTATTATCTAAAATTTTAACTGAAATTACAATTTTAAATTAATTATTAATAAAAAGTTCTTTAAGAATTCAATTATTTAAGTACAAAAGTAAATAATTTATTGAATAATTGAATATTTTTTAAAATTGAAATTCTAAAGGAATTTATGAAAATTTTTAAAAATAATTGAATTCATCTGAAGAGTTTACCACAATTATTTTTATAAATAAGTGAATTCTATCAACAAATTTTGTTAAACGTTTTAAAAATAATTAAATTCCGTCATGAAATTTTATTCACATTGAATTAAAAAATAATTTAATTTTTCCGAAGATTTTTATAACTTATGGAAATAACTGAATTTTTTCAACGAATTTTATTAACATTTTTAAAGATAATTAAATTCCTAAGAAGTAATTTATTATTAATTAACAATAATTGAATTCTTGTGATGAATTTTACAAAAATCTTGATCAATAATTGATTTTTTCGAAAAATTCTAGGAAAATTGTGTTTTAAATAATTGAATTTCTGTAAAAATGTAATTATTTATAAAAATAATTGAATTTTTCCAAAGAATTTATAATTTATGAAAATAACTGATGTATTGCTATGAACTTTATTAAAAAATTTTTTTTAAATAAGTTAATTCTTTTGGAAAATTTTATTAAAATCGTAGATGATGAAAATTAAATTTCGACAAATTTTTTAAATTAATTAAATTTTCACAAAGAATTTTATTTAAATTTATTGAAAATAATTTAATTATAACGAAGAGTTTCATTAAAATTATTGAAAATAATTAAACTCTCACAAGAAATTTACTTAAAAATGTATTGAAAATAATAATTATTAAATTTTAATAAACAAATTATATCAAAATTTGTTTAAAAATTTAAATAATTGAATTCTTTTGAATAATTTAAATAAAATTTTTATGAATAATTGCATTTTTCGATGAATTTATTTAAAATTTTATGAAAAATAATTGAAAATCCTCTGATGAGTTTTATTAGTTATGAAAATAATTGATTTTTTTGGAAGATTTTGTGAAAATTTTCTTTTAAATAATTGAATTCTTGTAAAACTGTAATTATTTATAAAAACAATTTAATTCCTCGAGGAATTCATTTAAAATAATATTAAATATAATTGAACTTTAGTGATGAGTTTTATTATGTATGAAAATAATTGAATATCGGTTAAAATTTTGATTATTTATTTATGAAAATAATTGAAATATTGCGAAGAAATTTATAAAAAAAATTGTAAACAACTGAATTCATATGAAATTTTTATTATTTATGAAAATAATTAAATGTTTGCGTAGAATTTTATTCAAATTTTTTTTAAATAATTGAATTCTTTTGGAAAAATTAATTAAAGTAGTAGATAATGAAATTCATAGAACTGTAAAAATTTTTTTAAATTAATAAAATTTTTACGAAGAATTTTAAGAATTTTATTAAAATTTTTGGAAAATAATTGAATTTCGAAGAAGAATTTTATTATTTATGAAGATAATTGTAATTTTGATGATAATTTTCTTTAAATTTTTGAAAATAATTGAATTCCTTCGAAGAATTTTATTTCTTTTGAAAAACATTGTATTTATTTGCAGCAACCATTATTAAAATTTTTGAAAATAATTGAATTCTTGCAACGAATTTTATAGAAACGTTTAAAAATAATTGAATTTCTGAGAAGAATTATTTTATTATTTATTAAAAATAATTGAATTCTTACGAAGAATTTTTTTAAAAATCTTTTTAAATAATTTATTTTTTCAAAAAATTTTATGAAAATTGTGTTTTAACTTTTAAATAATAATTGAATTCCCATGAAAATGTAATTATTTATGAAACTAATTGAATGTTTGCAAAGAATTTTGTAAAATTTTTCTTTAAATTGAATTCTTTTGGAAATTTTTTATGAAAATAGTAGATATATTAAAAATAATTGAATTTTGATACATTTTCGAAAATAATTGAATTGTTTGAAAGAATTTTATTTAAATTTTTTGAATTGTTTTTAATAATTTTATTTAAATTCTCAAGAATAATTTTTATTTTCACTTTTAGCAAATTTAAAGTAGTGCAAACTCTCTAACATAGAAAAAAGTAGCTTTCAGTGTCACAAATCTAAAAAAAAGTATCCAAATAATGGCAAATCGGAAAAAAAGTAGTAAATAATAGTAAATTGTAAAAAAAGTAGTAAATAGTATCAAATGGTAAAAAAAGTAGTAAATAGTAGGTTTTAGTAGATGAGTACGAAGCCTGTTTATATGATATTCATTATACATAATAAGATATAAAGAATAAAAATTTCACGATAAAAAAGTAAAAAAAAATTGAAAAAAATACAAAAAAAAATACAAAAAAAGAAGAAAACAAAATTTTCTCAAAGGGTCATGTTTTTAAATAGAAACGAGTTCATCAGATAAGGACAATTAAAAAAAAGAAGAAGTTCTCTAAAATTCTCTAATCAGCATGTGTCCCAGTGAAAAAATTATCACCCCTCTCTTCTTTTCCCATTGCTAGTGAGTTGCATTGAGATTAGTTTCGGGATTATTTCTAAGGAGGCATATCACTTTTTTTCTTTTCAAAAGTAATTCCTCTTTGATTCTCGTTTGCTTCTTTTGTCCAAAAAAAAAAAAAAAAAAAAAAAAATCAGAGAAGAAAGATTACACACACCTACATTCCCTCACTTTAAAGTGGGGACTTCTAGTGCGAGTATACCGCTGGCTGTCCTGCACGAGAGAGGAAGGCATGTGGTGGCAGTTCGAACCACAGTCCTAACTCAACCTCAGGCTGTGATAGATTGTATCGTGTGTCTTCGATCCGTGATCGATACCCGGTGAAATTATTATTAAGTCTTTTGCTAAAGTGCTACCGGTTTATCAAAGTCAATCCGCTTCTCAAAAAAAAAGAGAAGAAAGGAAAAAAAAATTTTTTTTTTTTGCCACGGATCATTTCAATAAGTGAACCCTCAATAATCCTGAGGACATTATGAGGATACAATCCCAAGGATTTTTCTCCTAACTTTGAAAAAAATTTTCAAATCCAAAGTTTTGGAAAAATAAATTTTTGAAAATCCAAAAAAAAAAATTTTTGGAAATAATTGCAAAAAATTTCTTCTAAAGAAGTACCCTAAAAGATATTTGCACAGTTTTACCGAAGAATTTGCAAAATAATTTTTCGGTGAAGAATTTCCCGAAAAAATATTAGTAAAATAATTTTAATGAAAATTTGAATTTTGAATATTTTTGATAATTGAAAATATTCTGGAAAATATTTTTTTTTTTTGACGAAAGATTCTAATTTTTGAGAAATATTTATTTTTAATCGAAAGATTATTTATCCTAATTAGCATAGACTAATTTTTAAGGATATGATTAATTTCGACAAGGATTAAATGGTCCTTGAGAAAATTTTCCGGAATAACCCCATTCTTCAGATTTCTTCAGCATCTTTCGGTTGCGATTCTCCTTCAGCACTTTTTCTTCAACGTCTCTTATTTCTTCTTTGAATATCTCTTAAAATCCTTATAGTAAGGATATAAAAAATTTTTTATTAAAAATTCTTCTTTATTTTCTGTTCTTTAGGAACAAAAAAATTTTTTCCCCTCCTCATTTTTATGAGGATATACTTCAGTAAAGAAAAATAAAAAATAAAGAAAAAGAAGAAAAACTCAGAGATTTATAGTAAAACTATTTCTTTATCATTAAAAGTTACTCCAATTTTATTTCCCTTTAAGGTAAAGTTTCAAAAATTTTCATTTTTGCAATTTCTTCTTCTCTCCTTCCTTGGGATTGCATAAAAAAAGCATTTTTTGGAAAATTGACAAAACAAAATTCTCAAAATATTTTGAGGATAAATTTGCATTTGAGGATTATTTTGTAAAATTGACTATTCAAGGAGAGTTTTTTTTACAAAGGAAGATATTATTGGAAGAAAGAAGACAACGAAGAATTTTTCGAGAAACAAAAATTAAGTTTCTGCAAGGAATTAAATATTAAAAGAGGTAAGAAATTTTTTATTCATAGTGTTGGACAATAATTTAAAAGAAAGTGCGCTCAATGCAAGTCAAATGTGTGCTTTCAGTGATTCATTAAATTATCTATTGATTCATTGATCCTCAAAAAAAGTGAGAGGATTTCGTCACGAAAAATTTTTCGGTAATTTTTATTTTTAAACCCATTTTTCATGACTTAAAAAATATTTTTCTTTGCAATATTTAATATTTTCTCGATATTTTTTGTTAGTGTTTTCTGGATAGTTTTTTAATATTTTTCTGACAGTATTTAATATTTTCTAGATAGTTTTCAATATTTTTTCGACAGTACTTAATATTTTTCCAAAACACTTAAAAAAAAATTTATTTGATTGAAATAACCGATTACTTGTCTATTATTAAATAAGTATTTACTTGAATCAAATAATATTTATTTAAAATTAATTAAATCGTATAATTGCTTCAAATACTGAAATTATTGATTCAAATATAATTTAATTGACTCCAATAAAAGTTATTTTATCAAAGTAAATATTTAGTTGATAATAGACGAAAGTAATCGGTTATTTCAATCAAATAAATTTTTTTTCGGTGTATTATTTAATATATTATTATTATTATTATTATTATTATTATTATTATTATTATTATTATTATTATTATTATTATTATTATATATGATTATATTATATAACTAACTAAATTTAATTAAATTTAATTAATCAATTAGATATTTTTTTGTTTTTAATTAATAAAAGTAGTTCAGTTCAAAATACATTGCAAAAAATTTACTTGATTCAAATAAACGATTACTTGCTGATCGCGAAATAAATATTTATTTGTATCAATTAAATGGTATTTACTTCAAATACAAAAATAATCGATTCAAATACAATTTATTTAATTTAAATATAAAAATTATTGATTCATGTAAATATTTATTTAATCAACAAGAAATTGATTATTTGAATCAAAATAAATTTTCCGTCAGTGTAATTACTTAATTGTATTTAATCAATTACAATCAATAACAATTTTACACTAATTAAATAAAAATTTGTTGTTCCTCTCTTAATTGCTCATTAACTCTCTAAAATTAAATTAGTAAAAATGTTTAAGAATTTGAATTATTGTCTAAAATTTTGCTTTTGAATTAGTAAATTTTACTAATAAATTAGTAGAAAATACTTCTTTATTAGTACATTTTACCAATAAATTAGTAGAATTTCCTTTTTAATTGTAAAATTTACTAATTCAAATGCAAAAAGTCAGTCACTAAGTCAAATTAGTAGAAAATTAGTAGAAATAAAATACATTAATAGAAATCAGTTTTTATTAGTAAAATTTACTATAATTTAAAGCAAAAAGTCAGTCACTAAGTCAAATTAGTAGAAAATTAATAGAAATAAAATAAATTAGTTGAAATTACTTTTTATTAGTAAAATTTACAAATTCAAAAACAAAAAGTCAGTCACTAATTAAAATTAGTAGAAAATTAGTAGAAATAAAATAAATTAGTAGAAACTACTTTCTATTAGTAAAATTTACAAATTCAGAAGCAAAAAGTCAGTCAATAATTCAAATTAGTAAATATTTTTACTAATTTAAATTTTGAGAGAAGATTTCAGTTCCAAAAAGTTCAAAACTAAAAATTTATACACAAAATTATTAATTGAACAAAATTTTTAATTTTTAATTATTAAATATTTATTTTATTAAATGTTGATATTTAATAATAATTTTACCTCAAATTCACCTAATTTACCTAATTAATATTTGCCGTTTTCCTTTCTAATTTCTCATTTATTCTCTAATTTAAAAAGCATTAAGAAAAAAATGTTTCGTTAACGAGATTTTCCAGGAACAATATTATTTTTTATTATTGTTAAAATAACGATTTTCTTTCTTCCGCACGAGGAAAATTGAATTCACGAGATTTTGTAATAAAGTCCAAGTATCAAGAGAGTGTTTCTAATTATACAACAAAAAAAAAGTGATAAACGATCAAATTTAAAAAATATTGAATATAAGATAAAATTGTGTATAATTTTTTAAAATCTCCTCCGCATCAAGTTTAAAGTTCATAGATCATTTTATTATTAATTACGATTACAAGTATATTTTCCCTTTTTTTCTTCTTTAAATACTCGATTTTATTTTAATTCAATTTACTTGTTTATTTCAAAACATGAAAATTTAAATGCAACAAGTTATCAAAACGTACATGCACCGGATGTTACTTCATACCGACAAAGAAGACCCTTTTCTTACGGAATGTCACGAATTATCATATCTTTCCCGCTAGTCTTTTCTTCTTTCTTCTTCGTCTTCTTCTTCTTTTTACCATAAAAAAAGAAAAAAGATTTTCATAAATAATAAAAGATTTACATTTCATTAATAATATTTTTTTTTGTGTAAGGGAATTTTTTTTCTTTATTTTCTTCTTTCGAAAGGGAAATAAATAATTTTAAACGATTTTAAAGATGTACTTTATCAAAAATTTCCTTTTCTGGAAATTTACTTTACTAAAGATTTACTTTACTAATGATTTGATTTTAATAAGATTTAATTACCTAAAAATTTAAGTTGCTAAAAATTTACTTTACCAGAAAGATTTACTTTGCTAAATATTTATTTATTGCTAAAATTTTACTTTATAAAAGATTTTGTTTACTAAAATTTTACTTTGCTAAAAATTTACTTTACTAAAAATTTAGTTTGCTAAAAATGTACTTTACAAGAAACATTTACTTTACTAAATATTTATTTGCTAAAATTTTACTTTACCAACGATTTACTTTACTAAACAATTTACTTTGCTAAAAATGTACTAAAATTTTACTTTACTAAAAATTTAGTTGGTTAAAAATGAATTTTACCAGAAACATTTACGTTACTAAATATTTATTTGCTTAAATTTTACTATACCGATGAGTTACTTTACTAAAAATGTACTAAAATTTTACTTTACTAAAAATTTAGTTTGTTAAAATCGTAATTTACCAGAAATATTTACGTTACTAAATATTAATTTGCTAAAATTTTACTTTAATAAAAATTTACTTTGCTAAAAACTAAGTTTACTCATTATTTAATGTTAAAGATTTACTTTAGTCAATATTTATTTGCTAAAATTTTACATTACCAACGATTTACTTTACTAAAATTTTTCTGTGCTCAAGACATACTTTACTAATGATTTGATTTTAAATATTCACTGTACTAAAATTTTACTTTGTTTAAATTTTACTTTACTAAAAATTTACTTCACTAAAATTTTACTTTGCTAAAAATTTACTTTTCTAAAGATTTACTTTGCTAAAATTTTACTTTACTAAAAATTTACTTTATTAAATATTTAGTTTGCTAAAATTTTACTTTGTTTAAATTTTACTTTACTAAAAATTTACTTCACTAAAATTTTACTTTGCTAAAAATTTACTTTTCTAAAGATTTACCTTGCTAAAATTTTACTTTACTAAAAATTTACTTTATTAAATATTTAGTTTGCTAAAATTTTACTTTGCTAAAAAAATATTTTACTAATTATAACTTTACTAATTAAATTTATTTGATTTTGAATATTTACTTTACTAAAGATTTACTTTACTAAAAATTGACTTTGTTTAAAAATTTACTTTACTAATAATAAAAAATTAAAAAGAAGAAAAAATTTGAAACGAAATTAATCATTAGATAATGGGGTAAAGGAGAAGGTTGACACAACGCTAATAAGAATTTCATAATTCTTGTGTATGTACATATATAAATCAAAGTTTGTATAGCAAATATAATGGATCATGGAAGGCACTCGTGGCACGTCATATGTCACACGTCAGACAAAGTTATGATACATGAAAAATAAAGATGTGTGGAGGAAAAAAAAAGTAATTAATTCATCTAGTACGTGTGTACAAAACGTATTTATAATGATTTTTAACACATTAAGTTTTATCAATTCGTTGAAAATACGCTTTGTTTAATAACTACTCGAACTTTGTATCAGGTCAAGCACTATTATAAATTGATTTAAAAAACATTAGTGCCAAATTTTTTTCTCTTTTTTTTCTCCAGTGTATAGATAAAATTCCAAAAATGTTAGTCATTGGGTAAAAATATTCTGCAAGTGGGTGTTTTATTTTCTTTTTTTCTTGGAGAATGACCATTATATTCTTTTTGGGGATTTACACTTAAATATTTTATTAATTTACTTCCTTGAGGATAGATTTTCAAAAATTTTTTATTTTAACTTTTTCTGTTTGAATAAAGTTATTTTTTTATTTTTTTTTAGGATTTTCTTTGTACTTGAAATTAGTTTTCAATTATTTTAAATATTTATAATTTCTTTTAATTTACATTAACATTTAATTTCATAATTATTTACATTCGTAAAGAATATAAATGTAAATCCTTGAAGGTATTCAAGGATTTTATTTTTTGTTGTTTACAATTATTTATATTTTTATACAAATTTATAATTTACTTCAAGTTAAGGATTTATTTCAGTGAAGAGTTAATTTATTACATATTTCCTTTACTAAAGATTTAATTTACCAAAAATTTACTTTGCTGAAAATTTACTTTACTAAAAGTTTACTGTTTGCTTTACACATGATTTGATTTTAATGCTTTTACTATACTTATGATTTACTATAAAATTTTGTTTGTTAAAAATTTACAGTATCAGAAATATTTAATTTGCTAAATATTTATTTTCTAAAATTGTACTTTACTAAATATTTACTTTGCTATAAATTTATTTTACCAGAAAGATTTAATTTGCTAAATATTTATAATTTATTTGATAAAATTTTACTCTTCCAACAATTTACTTTACTAAAAATTAACTTTATTTATGATTTGATTTTAAAGATTTACGTTGCTGAATATTTACTTTACTACAAATTTAGTTTGCTATAAATTTACTTTACCGAAAGATATACTATGGTAAATATTTATTTTCTAAAATTTTACCTGCACTAAAGATTTATTTTACTAAAAATTTACTT